CTTTAGCCTTCAATGGTCGAAATGATTTCGACCATTTCGACCATTTCGGATATCCGAAATGATCCATTTCGACTTCACGTATAGCCATGATATATATTTTGAATTATTTAAAAGGTGATCCATTAGGAAATACATTTTCTATTATAGATACCATATAAGTTTTAGAATATTTGCTAGGATTTTGAGAATAAATTGGATCATCGAGATGTTAAAATGCCCATTCAGTCATAAATAATTATTTCATTCTGCTCATTTAGTTGTTGATTTAATAGTAGGTAGATTATGCTATGCAAAGACTTAATATACAGCAGTTTTGATTTATTCAGTGAGCGATTCACAAATATAGTGATATTAATCTGCAAATAACATTATTAAATTTTTATTTAGTAGATAACATTTAAATAAATAAAACAAGATTAAAATATGACACAACCTGACAAATAATTTTGTGCTCAAGTAAATATTTCCACTATAAATCTGTATAATTTTACTATTGTGATAGATTTTGTAATTTTATTTCAGTATCAATAGCATTATACATTTTAAAATTTATAGGATATATAGCAGTTTTTAATAAAGATTTAAATGCATTTTTAAAAAGAATCTAAGAATAAATTGTAATATGCAGTATTTAATAAATTATCTGATTTAAATATATCTTTAAAAAAATTATCACATACCTGCTATTATAAGTCTTATAATAATTTTGCAAACGTAATACTTGACCATTAATTTTAACCAATGTGATTTGATTTTTCCACTAATTATTAGTGCTGTATTGGCAGCTTGTTCAGCTCTTATAGAATCTTTAATACCTTTTCGTATAATTTGAAACATCATATTAATACTTTGACAATCAAAAATAATTGGATCTAAATAAAAAAAAATTAATATTTATATAGAAATATAAAATTGATGATATATTTAAATACATTCTTTATTGTTTATGGTTTTTTGATATTCATTCCTTTCTTTATCTATATTATAAATATTAAATTCTAAGATATTATAAGTAAGAGAAGCATTATTAGAAAATGATAGATTTTTATTTCAATATTCAATAAAACATTTTTATTAGATTTAGTATTTAAAGGTAAGTTTTTTCTATTAAAATATTATTATGAATTGATTCTATAAAAATTATTTTATATAGGTAGAACTTATTTAATTAATAAATTATTAATATCATATAATTATCAATATAAATTTCTTATTTACTTAATTCTAATGCTTGGTAAATTAGATTTTCTTAATTTGAATTTTTTTTAATTTTTTTTAAAGAGTCTTAGTTATCTTGAATTTTGTTAGTTATAAGAGTATAACCTATTTTATATTTATTTTCTTTATTATTTATCCTTTTTTAAATAATATATTTATTTAAGTAAAATTAAAACTATTTTTCATTAAAGTTAAGCATGAGAATTTTTTAAAAAAAACTTTAAAATAATAATACAATATGACATTATATATATGTATTAGCTTAATAAATAATAGTTAATTTTTATAAAATTAATAATTATAATATATTATAAAATTAAAATAGACTACAATGATAATATGATATCATATATACAGTGGGCAATAAAAGAAACGCAAGTAGAGTTACTTGCCTTTAAAAGCTTATAACTCACCAACCACAAATGCTAGAAACATAGTTTTGTATTTGTTTTATATCCTAAAACCTAGCTAATATTCAGTAATAATTTGAAGTGCAATTATTAAGACCAATTTTGTGCAATTTAGCGATCTACATCAAATTTCTTACTTAATGAAATCTAAGTATAGAAAAAATTTTCAGTAGGCCGACTACACAAAAACCGATACAGTATTCAGATTCTCCTCAGTGCCGCGATTCTAATAAGCTAAGATTCGTCCAAATCAGATCAATTTTTTTTTTTAGACGCGGTATTATAATTTTATTAATAATAAATTTTAAAAATCGAATAATACAAAGTAAAAAGACTAAAGACTATCTAAATGATTCAACATAAACAAAATTATTGCCTAGAGACATTAAAAAATCTATAAAAGACCAGGTCCCTCCAAACCAGCCGGTTGTCTTGTCAAGTTCAAAAACAAATGTATAAACATAAGTTCTATCATAACTGTTCGTTAAAAGAAAAAGTTTGAAAATAAAGAAAAATAAAAACAACTAGCTATTACCGATCCAAAAAGAGTGTCCAATCCCTGTCATGAATTATAGAAAGTCTGACTAGATCAATTCAATTTGTAAAAATAGATTGGTTGGAAAAAGATAAGGAATTAATGTGTCGATTAAAAGTAAATGTTGAAGAGTGGTCGTATTTTCTTTTTTGTTTATCAGAGATGTGTAGAGTTTTTTCTTTTTCAATCATGAGTTCACATCTAGGAAGCCAAATATCTTGATGAGTTCGGTTATAAAGGTACATGGTAGTATTTGAGAGGATATTAAAAGTAGTTTTCTGTGAGTTTGTAATACATTGAATATGATTGAAAAGACTCAATAGAATAATGCCTTTAATTAGGTCGATAAAGGTTAAGGAATTGTTGTTAGAGGTGATAGTCCAAAGTTCATCAATGAGTAGATAGTGAATTAATGCAGTAGAAGGAGTAAGGTGCAATGTGGTAAGTTGATGCAGTAGGAAATTTTTGGTATATTCCATAATATCTACTATGATTGGTAAGCTAGAAGTACATAGCCAAATATGATCAAAAGTTTCATTTTCTAAATCACAGCGACAACATTTCTATGAACTATGGTAAATGTGTTTTTGCGTAGATTTTCAAAATTCTACAGTAGGAAGTTATTCAGTTAAATATTTGATTCTTCGGCCGTGTAGTCTTGAGTTATCGAATGTAATTGTATTTGAGTCTTGATGTTCTTTCAAATTGGTAAAAGTACAGAGCCAGTTTATATGAAAATATTTGTATTTGAAGTTTCTTTTTAAGTAGAAAAAATCAATGAATCCTTGAGTTGTTGCAATTGTTTTCATGAAAGATCGAACTGGATTATTAATTATGAGATTTTGAAATTTAGGAAGATATTTAGCATGAGGAGCATCATCGAAGATTAATTCCATTGAAGTTTCAAAGAGAGCATCTTTAGCAAGAGTATTGACATATTCATTTCACTTGATTCCTGAGTGAGCTTTGACTTTGATAAATTTCACATGTAATGAAAAAAGAAAATATAAGACCAATAAATATAAAAAGGGATTTTAAAAAGGAGTGTAGAGTAGTTCAAAATGTTTTGTTTCTTGATTTTTTTGTAAGTTTAGATGAAGAAAGACTGTCTGTATAAATTATGATATTAGAACATGAAGGAAATAAAAGTATGACTAAAAGAATAGCCATAATTTCAGCATGGAATGAATTAGACCAAATTGGGGTAATAGCAGTTGAGAAAGAAAATTCTAAAATATTGTTTTTAATAAAAGCTAATGCTAAACTGAAATTAGTAGACAAATTATCAGAATTATATATGTGAGAACCATCTGTATAGAATTCTAAGGTTTGGGAGTTATTTAGATGTGATAAATAAAGTTGTTGTTGAAGGTATAATAAATGTT